TTTACTGTATATACTTAAAAAATTATAAAGCACTTCCTCCAATATGATAAAAGAAGTATCTCTTGACGAAATGTTTAAGGAAATCCAGAAGTTTTATTTATTTAATTCATCAACTAGGCCACAGAAATTAGAATTTCATAAAATTTAGAAGACGGCTAATATAAAGACAACAATAAAACCTTTTTTTCTTTTCACAATTTAGCAATTTTTTTAAAAGAAAATCATGCTAATATTTTCTTGATATTTTGAAACATAAACTGTAAGTCATCTTGTATTTCACATTTATTTATATGCTTTATCACTCTAAGTTGGATGCATTGTACTTCCTGAACCTAAAATCAATCCTGTTTACATCTCGTAGATGATTTATAAATTTTAAGATGTACCAAATCAAGGACTTTTCACGAAAATCATCGTGAGTTCAACGTCTCTTGTTTATTTTCCAAGGAAAAATTATTCGCAGTATGATGCCTTCTGATAATTTTCCATGTTTTTCCAAAGAAGCAGCTATGCACGAGTGTTGAACAAGTACTGAAATTTTGTTTCTGTGATTTAGCGGAACCAGTTACTTATTTCTCCTTCACGATTCGTGTGTTTTATTACAAGGTCGAAACCCCTGCCAAGTAATCCTTCCACGCCAGCTGAACTTTCACACACCTCATGACAAATGACGCGCATCGCCTACATTTATTGCTAAACGTAAATTCTGTTAGTGGATCTTAACCTTAAAACAGATCGTTAACATTAGGTTAACCTTTGCATTATATGCAACTTTGTAGAAGGACGCTTTGCCTCTTTAGACGAAATGATAATCCTGGTATTAAATAATTACAAAAAGGAAAAATCTGAAAGATTCACATTTTAACGGTCCCCCAAAAGGGTTTGTTAATTTTTTTTATGCCCTGTCTGAGCCCGCGATCTACCAGCCTGCTGTTGAACTCACTCCTGCAAATCCATTTCTTTTTGTCATTTTAGCTTTATTATTAAATATCACTTTCTTCGCCCTTACGCCATATACAATTGAACAGCAAAATTTAAAAAAATCTGATGTGTGCACCACATGACTTCCTTGTACGGAATATTAAATTATGCGCATTTTTTCTTGCATTTCATTTAAACTTTATTGGATTGAATTAAATCTACTTTGTCGATAACGCACAAACCATAATAGAATAAATGCACTCTTTAAAATTCTCTATATTCGTTTACCATAGCGACACTCAGGTGCTAGGTTCACTTAACAGCGTTACATTTCGTTCATATCATAACTCAGAATGCACAAAATTTATATCATTTAATTATATAATCGTTGCACATTTCTATTCAAATACTATATAATAAATCTAAAACGATGTATAAAAGAAATTAGGCAAACAAAAAAAAAAAAAAAAAAAATCACAGAAGATTCAGTATTTCTCATTCAATTAATTCAGTTCTCACTTCGCGACAAGGCAAAAATAATTAGGCTTAGCCGCATTTTTAAATTGCGGAACAACTTTTAAATTGTTGATAATTCTACAAATATTGCATGCAGATTTACTAAAGGCATAAAAACCTTAACCGGAAAATAACATAATTCAATCATTTTTAAAGCAAAAAATGCACAATTTACAAACGTATATAAGAATAAAAAATTGAAATCACTGAGCCGAATAACTGAGTGAATATTTATATACATACATTTGTATACTTTTGGTGCGGCCGATTGCAACCAAAATACGAGGTGCACATCTACATATTATAGCAGTCCTATATACATTTCAACATTCTGAGGCTACTCGTTTTTGAGTTATACGAGATACGCACGTAGGCATAGACGTCACGAAAAATTCTCTTCATATATAATATAGGCGTCCTTTTTCCTTAGGAAACAAACCCTTAAACGCGGACTGCGCATGGAAAAGAATATCTGCAGACATTTTGGAGCTATGTAAGCAATTACAGAGGTCAAGAATTGTCACTTGTGTGCTGGAAATGGCATGTGCATAAGTGTGCTGGAAAAAGAAAGTTTCTATCATCCCTTTAAATAGTACATTATACTGTGTATTCAGGGCTTAAATTCAGCTGCAGCCCGGTTGAGCCATGTCTTAGTTTTTGAGTGATACTGTAATTCTAGCCAGAGATCCAAATAAGACGAGTTCCGGTATCTTATTTTATTATTTAACGATTTTAGCATTAATTTAATTATTTTATTACATGTTACTGAATTTTAATTTCAATTATTCAGTTATTTTACCTTCTTACATTTTAAATCAGTTTTATAATTTTTGTGGGGAAAAGAGTCCTTTATTCAGTCCTTACGTACAGATGTCACGAAAAACATCATTAAATTGTATTCGATAGCCATTAAAATAGATATTTTCGTTGAAATATGTTGCTTGAAATTTTTCGCGATTACAATACTTCCTTTTTACTTCGTACAAGGAAGTAAAAAATTTCACAGCAGCATATTTTTAGAATTCCCGATGCAGTGCTAAGTGTTCGCATACATTTTTCTATTTTTTTCAGTCTGTTCTCAGTTCATCATATCAATATTCAGTTTCTTAACAAGATGGCTTGCAAAACCCTTTTTTTCTCTTAATTATTAATGTTTTGTGTCTTAACATTATTTATTAAATATCACGTTTTCGCACTTACGCCACATAAAATTCAATTCATAGGCAAAATCACAAAATATTTAAAAAGGGCGTATCTGCCGAATTTCCAATAGACAGTCTGAACGGTACAATGTTGGTATTGCTCGCTGTCAAATCATTTGAGTTTGTTAATTAAAAATTAATTAAAAGTTTATAGAATATGAAATATAAAATTCGAAATTAAAGATTTGTGCTTCCAAGTGCACATGTTCGGGTGGAAGACAACGTTATTCAGAATTTGGCGGCCCTATGTACTGTCGTTTTTTTCACAATCCGAGGAAAATACATACATACATGCCGATTCTTTATTATTTAATTTCTTTAAAAATAAAACAGGATGGTAATATTTGATGGCAACAATTTGAAAAGTGATTCACCGTTTATAGTAGATGACGCAAAATCCCGTTTTCAGACTGATAGCCCTTTCAGGGTAACGCCCTTATGGTCTAATAAGAGTACTTTTCTCGCCATTTCAACTATTAGGTAAGAGTTAAAGCAGGAAGGAGATTACATGAATATAGCAAAATATATATCTTTCATTGAACTTCCTCCATTAATACCTTGGAATGAGGTACTTCTCTATTTCTTGCTCATCCAAAGGCAGTATTAGAGAAATCACAGATTGAATGGCGTAAAACTCTACTTTGAAAGGGACTTAAATATGGGTGAATTTTTAAAAAATCGTATAAATAAATTGCAGCAAAAATGACATATCAGAAAACAAATTTTCATAACACTCTAAGAATAGAACAAGAAAATGAAGGTTATACAATACAGGTTTGCATTTAAGAGCATATTGTAATGAATTTAAATGCTACTAATGACGTTCAGGCCATCATGACATCTCATTTCAAATAAGTTTTTATAGGATTTAAATTTGCACGTTTTGACGATATTAATGACACAGCGCTGTTTTCTAGTGATGAACATTTTAATCAGAATTCGCAATTCCTCAAAAATCTGGGCTAAGTAACTTGCTTATGATTTATTGTCAGGGTCTTATGAACATTAAAAAATACTTTTAATTCTTATTATTTATTTACATTCCTTTTACTTTTTGCTACTTAATTTATAAAAATACGTTAAAAAATATTCAAATTCTACATAAATGGATATGTGTTTTTCGAGTTTCCGAAAAGGGAATCTGCTAGCAATGGCGAAAGGGGTACATCGGTCAGAACAGGTTGAGAACCACTCTTCTAATGATTTAAATCAGAGAATTCTAATGATATAATTTAAATATCGGAACACAACAACGTCATTTGCGTAACTTAAAGCCCAATCTATCTTAAGACTTGATGAATCGTTAGAAGATGAAAGAAGTCATATGCAGACTTATTTCAACTTAGCTTCTTTATTGATGGGTATTAATTATTGATGCATCATTTGGTTGCTGTAAGTTTTGCAGCTTTAAATTAAAAATTCGTGAGTTTGATCTCAACCTAATTAATGACTTCACTTTGGCTATATTATCTATCAAATCAAGTTATTGTCAACAACAGAAAAAGTGCTTACAATACAATTTAGTAATAATTACAATATAATTAGTAACAAATAAATGTTTATTTTTTTAACTATGTGTATTTAGCAATTTAAAATAAATTATACGCAAAAGTGAAGACTTGCTAGTTTGGAGGTAATTGAAAAAGCTTGTAATTATAATTTAATTGCTTAATTCAGCAAGCTCCTGGAAATAATTCTGCCTACAGAAATTATAATTCAGTCTTTCCCACAACGTACTAGAAGTTCATAGCTAGCAACAAGTACAGGTTGAAGGAAAGCCGGCACTTGTGCATTTCAGTAGGTATATTAGTACTGCCGATTCTTGCAAGCTGTTAAAATTTATTCTCAAATTTCGTCCAAATTCTGGATTTGTATATTAAAAAGTTCGCCTCAAAATTCCGCTCAAATTTTGAGAAAGAACAAATCGAAAGAGGAAATCCGAAGGTCTCTCCTCCTATTCCCCTACCACAACCTCTCGAAAGACTCGCCGTGTATTTTGACTGCTCCTTGGCGCGCAGGCCCTATACGCTTATAAGGCTCCATATCTTCACTGGGAATCGAACCTGAGCCCATTGGTGCGACTGTTAGCGTTACTAACAATCATACCGGCTCGGCGGCCACGTACAGCAACAATGTAACTTAGGAAAACCCAAAGTGACGAACGATTCTCTGAAGGAAATAAGTCATAGTTAAAAATTAGAGTTATTCATACGGAGAACTTCATACTCATATAATTAAAATTTGCAATGAAATTCTGAATTAGTCGAACCTGTGTGATGCAAAATGAGAGAATAGGAAAGAATAAGAATTAACAGTTAAATGTTAGGGAATTATAATTATTGAAATCCAGAGAACACTCACTTCTACTCCCACCGAGAACACCGCACAACTTTTGTCCATTGGGCAGAAGAAGGTAATCGGTCGAGCACCCAGGGGTCTGCACAAAGTCAAAGCTTGACAAGTCCAACTGCACGAGGCAAGCTCCAGCTCCGGATTTTCGGATTGTATAGGTACACCTTTCTATAGGGACGTTGTCTTCTGTGTAGTCAGGATAAGTGATCCTGCTTATGCGACCACTGAAGTTTCGAGAACACTTTTGTCGTGACGTCATTGCACCTACTGCGAAGCAAAAAAAAAACCTTGTGAAATTTTCAAGATAAAATTGTTTGTGTGCGCATGTTTCATAAAAAATAGAAAAAAAAACTTTCTAATGTGTAATGACTTACAATAATTTTACGAAGAAACATGACAATTTTTGAAGGGCCTTTTAAATACTGTGGTAAAATTTTGTAAATATTTGTATTTATTTATTTTCAGTTAGATTTTTAAGAATTTCTGCAGCGTATTGTGTATGATAATTTTATGTTCATTTGTTGTGCATTTTTTTTTTTTTGTTGTTGTTGTCCGCTTAAGAATTTGTTGGCGTTTATTGTGTTTGTATGTGTTTTCTAAGACGATTGACTTTGACATTGTAAGTATAACTCAAGTAGAAGCAGAGATATGAGCAGAAATCCTTCAACTGCGCCTTGGTGAGATTCTTGAAATCCGCAGAAAATACATAAGTCCTGACAGCAAATTTTCTTGAAGCTTCTAAATGTTTACTTTTTCCCTCGAAAAACTGAATCAACAGGAGAATATGAGCAGCCTTGAGTCAGTTAAATCGAAACTCCTGATCTGTTTTGATCTAGTTGAAATTCAATTCGGTGATTACTGCTTTGGATTTTGTTCTGCAAGCGGATTTCGCGATCTGCAAAATTTTTCACTTGATGGTGATAATTTCATTTTATTTCTTCTTTCCTATTTGGGTAGTTTATAGCTGTTTATATCAATAAAGTTTCAAGGTTTTCTGTTTATCTGACCTAGTTCTTATAGAAGATCGGTACGGAATTGTAGGACATAGTACCATGCAAAGCAATATAGTACAGTACAAATATTTTTTAAAAACTAATAAATTCATTCAGATGAATGTATCCGACATGGAGATTAGCAGTGGAAGGTATAGCGTTGATTGTGAGAATCCCTTTTAAAATATACTGCGATAAAAGTACTTTTATAACGTTGTAGTATAAGGTATTTCTCCCGCTTTTCTAGCTTGCCTTCGTGGTAGTGGTTCTGCACGCTGGGCCAGTATTCCAGAGGTCCGTGGTTTGATTCCCGGTGAAGGCGATTGCTCATTTTTTATTTTGTCTGCCTCCAAAAAATACCTAATGTCTCTGCAGTGGCACCCGAACTAAAATGGTGTTGGATGAGGTTTCTCCACACCCAGGATTTGGCGATTGGGTCCCCTAAAAAGCCCAGTCACCCTTTAAAAAGGCGAGTATATAAGGTATTTCTACCGCTTTTCTAGCGGGCCTTCGTGGTGTAGTGGTTCTGCACGGTGGGCCGGTATTCCAGAGGTCCATGGTTCGATTCCCGGCGAAGGCGATTGCTCATTTTTCATCTTGTCTGCCTCCAAAAAATACCTAATGTCTCTACAGTAGCATTAAATATTTGCAATTTTGTAACATTTTACTGCAATTAGAATACTTTTGTGACATTTGTTTGTATTTACTTTTGATTCAATTGGCCGAATTAGAACCGAATAATGCACAAAAATATGAGTGTCTGAAAAAGTAAATGAGCTTGTCTTCTTATTTATGTATTAACTTAGGCTGTATTAACTTAGGCTTGTTCATAAATTATATAACTCGAAATTATCCAGCAGTTTGTAATTACGCTCTCAGTTTTTTTTACAGTAATCTTCCCATAACAGTGGTGTTTACAGGTTTTTGAAAGAGCTAAGGATATATTATATCGTAAAATATAAATATGGCTCTTAATATATTGGTATAGTATTGTAATTAAAAATGTTTATGTAAAATTCTGTCTCTCAGAATTAGAAGCAGAAAAAATTGCTGATGCCGTGCCTATTGTTATGTACATACACAGCCCTCCAAAAGTTAAGAAACAGCATGTTTTTTGTGTCTAATTTGAGAATGAAGCAACGTAGAATCCAGAAATTTAGAGGACCTGTTCACTAAATAGTTCGTTAATGAATGGGACATAGAATGCTTCTAAAGTTCAACATAAACGTGAATTACATAAAAAAATTGCACCCTTGGCAGAGAAATCCAATCTTAGAGAAATAGTATATCACAATTTCTTGAGGAAACATAGGTTGGTAATATTACAAAAATGGGTTCTAATAAGGAATGTGTCCACCCCTAGCTGCAATACATTGGCGGCAGCGACATTCCATGCTGTCAATTAAGTTCTCGGTCAGTGAAATAGGAAGCAACGACCAGACACGGAGTAATCTTTGTTCAAGCTCATCTAACGACCTTAGAAGAGGACTTAAAGCAGAAACCTGTCTCCCAAGGTAGTTCCAAGGGTTCATTATCGGATTCAAGTCTGGGGATATAGCTTGCCATTCCATCCCGTGACCCTCAAGATATTCTTCAGCAACCCGAGCTCAGTGCCGTCGCGCATTAGCGTCCATCAGAAGAAATCCAGGACCAATAGCAGCGGCAGGCGGACATATTGATTGAGGATCTCGTCTCGATATCTCACACCGCTCGAAGTTCCTCCATGGAACACGTGCAGGTGAGTGTGATTATCGAGAGACATCTCAGCCCAAACCATTATTCCATCACCTCTGTAACTGTGTCTTTCCACAACGTGAGATTGGTTGTATCTGGTGCGTTGTTCCCTCCAGATCAACTGACGACCTGTATCGCTTTCCACTGTGAACCCGAATTCGTCTGTGAAGCGAACAGACGCCCATTATTGACTGGTCCCCAGGAGACGTGTTCTCTTGCCCAACATAAACTGGCATCCCTATGTTCTCGGGTTAAGGAGACACAAACAACTAGTCGTCTTGCATACAGACCTGTATTGTGCAGGCGTCTGCGCGCTCTAGTAGCTGAGATTCTTGTTCCTGTTGCCACTAAATGATCTGCCATGATCTGAGCACACAGTAATGTTACTCCTCCTTCGGGCCGAAAGAGCTAAATAACGGTCTCCCGCATGTGTTGTAACTCTAGATCTGCCTGGAACATGTCTTCTAGACAAAGAATCCTCGGATTAAAACTGTTTCCATAGTTGGTGGACCACACTACAAGACATATTGAAACGTCCAGCAACATCAGCTTGTGACATCCCCATTTCCATCCATCCAATCGTCCACCACCTCAACTAATCGGGGAAACGACTTCTCCTGCACATTGATAGATTCTCCTGGATATTCTCAACGAAATTGCTATTAACAATTGAAGATCAACACTCGTGAACAAAAATTACAATTTTTGCCTTTTTTGTCCAACTCCTATATAAGTATTCCTTTCTGTAAAGTAAAAGTGGTAGTATTGTTTTTGTATGCATTTTCTTAAACTTCGTCACTATCATGTATATAAACTGTGAATTTAAATGTTACTGACATTTTTGTAATGGTGAGCCTTCAAAAACACGCTGTTCCTTAATTTTTGGAGGGCATATATATATATATATATAATATATACAGTATTCAGTATATATTCAGTACGCATTTTAATTTAGAATAAAGAGCTGATAATAAATAAGTTATTTCATAACAATAATAAAGCATTATGAATAAATAAGAAGACATATCCAATTTTGAAATTCAATAAACAAGTGCATAAATGCAAGAACCGAAGTGCAAATGTTGAAAATTAAATGCAATAAAAGAAGAATTTATGCCTAGCAGTACCTTTTCACGAGATTAGTGTATCGACAAAAACAAATGGATCAGCTAGTTTCTGAACTGATAATGACACTAATTTACTAAATTTAAAACTTCAGTAAACTACAAAACAATTTGCATCTTCATCTGTTTAATACCTACGGGATGGAAAGAGAAAAGCATTTTGTTCAATTCATAAAAACAAAATTCTTTACGATCCATAATTGTAAAATCAGTATCAATATCATTCATTTGATTTAAATAAATCTAATACAAATCAAGCCAATTAAAATAATTTATTCAACAAAAATACTAAAAATATCAAAAATAATAGAAACTGCAGTCTGTACCAGCCAAGCTGTCGTCCTAAAACAAGTGTTTAAAGTAAAATATTTAAATTAAATATTGCATCTAGAATTAATAATTAAGTTAAGTAAGGTAAATAAATTGTACAAGAATCTACAAACAAAATTAAATACATATTCGAAAAATTGGAATAAGCTAACTCTGACACTGCTGTAAAACTGCACTGCTGTAAAAGTTTTTTAAATGGAGCTGTTAAAAAATAATTATTTTTATTTTTAAAGGATAAAAAGCGAGAAATATATATGATATGTGCGCGTAATATAAAAGGTATAAATAATCGTGATACTGAATAATGTTGTAAAGAGAATTAAAATATTAATAATTTAAAAAATTGAATAATTATAATAAAATTAAACATAAGTAAAGTAATTATGAAAGCTGAAATGTATAAAAAATAATTTGGAACACTGGGTGAATAAACGTTTTACATAATAACCAGTTGACTGCAAAGAACATAGTATGCAGCAGGGAATACCGATTCAGAATGATTTTTTTCCGTCCACATTTAATCTCCATCGGTTAATAAAAATTTCTGCTTTCTTATTCGCTGAATCCATTATGTACTGTCTGCGTCATTAGCTTTATGCAAGAATCAGATGACATGGCTTAAACAGATACAATAAATTATTTTAAGTAGCATCATATCAAAATATGATGCAACTAAAAATAATTTATTGTAAGCTGTTACTATTTTTAGGAAAGAACGGAGAAGTACCCAAATTGAAATTGAAAATTAAGCTGTTATTGCAAACTAAAGCTAAAATTTTGATTTACGTATTTATGTATTATCTATCTATCCATTTATCTATATATATATTCAATTTATTTTTTTCAAAGTTTTTAAAGATAGTTAAGTACAGAAAGGAACTGTGAGAAACAGTTGACTGAATTATAATATTTTGTACGAATTTCTGGATTCAATTAACACGATTTTATTTAACGTGGTGTTTCGCTGGGATAAATTAACCATGCTAAGCCAGGAACTTTGTTTACGATACCTACTAATCACGAATGTAAATCGATCTGTATAATCGTTGCAAAACAAGGAATCTAGTAATAAATTACCATTGTTGTTTCCGATCATATTTTCCGCACAAGAGAAAGGTAGCTGCTTTACTTCTATCAGAAATCCCTTTTTCTGATGGAAAGTGCTCCGGAACTTGAATACCAACTTGTTTGATCCAGGAGGGAAGAAAATGAACTCTGAAAAATATAGTTATCACTTCACTTTCAGGTGCATATCCAGGGCTAAATGCAAGAAACCATTAATTAAAATATTTCTTTCCTTCAGTATCATAAAAAAAAATCTACTTAGCCATGCTTTCATTACTATAATGCCTTTTAAAGCCAATAACTCCTAAAATATTAACCAGAAATTTAGTGCTACAGGAAATATGCGTTATGTTGTAAGAAGTAAAATTATTCTTATGTTAGGAAACTGGAATTTTTCAATTAATGTCTCTTAATCCTCAGTACATTACAAAGAAACATTTTCTATTTGATACGTTAAATTTCTATCTTTTTTTTTTCTTTTTCTTTAGACAAAGGAGTTTTAGCTCAGAAGGTCTATTAGTTTTGAAACGGGACTTTGCGTTAAAAAATTATAAAAGGCTGAATCACTTTTCAAATTGTTGCCACCAAGTATTATATCTGCATGCATTATTTTAAAAGAAATTAAATAAAGGAGAATGTACATGAATTTAGGTTCTCGCGTTGTGAAAAAGCTACGACACTTAGAGCCATCAAATTTTGAATAACATAATCCTCCAACCGAACATGGGCACCTGGAAGCCCGCAGTTTGAATTTTGAATATTTTTATTATCTATTTCTCAGTCTGTAAAACTTTATCAAATTTTTGATTAACAAACGCAACGATTTCAAAGCAAACAATGGTAACACTGTGCATAAAAAAAATCTCCAGCGCGTGAGGTTGTCTATCGGAAATTGTAAAGATGTGCTGTTTTTAAGTATTTTGTGGTATTACTGTTGAATTTAATTTTATGTGGTTTTAACGCGAAGAGCATGAATAAAATAAGGTAAGAAATAAAGGTAACACACAAAACTATAAAAAAAACCGCCCCTTTGGGCGTAATATAAGATTTGAAAGCTTTCAGACTTTTTTCTAAAAATAATTATTGAGGGGGAGGGGAATTTTTTCAACTCTCTCTTCTTTGCGTTCCATTAAGCATATCAGGAGGCTTGCAGAAGTAAGTTATAGCACTAAGATACGACATAAACAAGTATGATATCAGTGCAAAGAGTGGAAAATAAAAAATTAACAACCAAACAAAAAAATAAGCAAAAATTTAAATATTTAAAAACGTAAATTAAGAACGCACTTCTGAATAGTGTAAATGGTTTCTAATGTATGAAATTTCAGAAAAATTGAGAGCCAAGACAAAAGTTAGTCTTTTAAAGTTTGAAACATAATTAGAAAGTAATATCATGGTAAAAAAGGTTTTACATTTTTTAAGAAATTAGAATATTTAAAATCAAAACAATCCTAAAAATATTTGAATTATGAAAATCAGGAAAGAGTTCGGAGTTACCAAACTTAAGTGTTTCAATGATACCAATACAGAACTGAACCTTTGATCTTTAGAAGATGAAAGAATAAGATAAAAACCCAGTAGCAGCAATACAATTGACTTTTGATAACCCACGCTTGATTAAGTTATTCACTTTTGATAACCCACTTTTAGTTTAAATACTTTTGATAACCCACGCTTAGAATAAATTAAAAAAGGAATTAAAAGTAAGAGGTAAAATTTTGGTTTCCATTTGAAAGGTTCACTGCCTAGATCAACAAAGTCACAGGTCTATTTAGAAACTGATTTAGAGACCGAGTACCGACTCATTTAGGACATGGGCTTGCATATGTAGTACTATACTCGTATTTATGAAAAGGAGCTTTCTTGATTGTTCATTTAAGGTTGAGTTGAAGATTTCGTGTAAAAAATAATAATTTCTGCAGAAAATTTATCTTAAATTCCAGGCGAATGAGTTGGTTGCATGAGCGTTTTCGTGGTTTTCCTCAGATGTAACGTGATATGAGTCAGTTTTCGTTAAATGTCCTCCATGAAGACATATCTTCTATTAGGCAGATAGCCCTCAAGTTTGCTTTACCATAATCAAATAAACCAAACCATACTGTTTGGAATTAAATGTGTTTTATTGATCAAAGAGAGGACAGATGCTACCATTAAATAGCTATTTTTAGGATTGTAATTTCTGAACAACAATATGATTATTAAATTGGTATGAAATGTAAAAACGAATTCGAGATATTAATTAAATTTTGCTATAATCAGCTTCTTTTAGAATGATATATATTTTTGCACTTGCTGAATTTTATGTCAGAGGACGCTTATCAAATAATTTATAATTTATAAATTCTTTTCTAAAGTAGTCGTTAAAAGGACAAAAGAATAAATATTTTTAAATGCCAGCTTTTATCTAAAGTTTCGATTCTTAGGGTACGTTTTAAAGAATTATGATTCCTTCAGGAGTGCTATCCTAGTGTAAACAGCTAACATGTTCAGCTAGCATTTAAGTAGCTAGCACCCACTAGTGGTAGAGCGGCAAATTCTCTGAACACTGGTAGTTCGACCCAGGTTTACAGGACCTGGCGAATGGGCAAGATGTATGAGCGTTTCATGGTTCGCCTTGTGTGTAACGTAGATACGAGTTAATTTAATGCCTTGACGAAGGCATCTTTACGCAGCTAGCCCTTGCTTGTGTACCATAATCTAATAACTCGAACCAGCTGACAATTGAAAGCTACATGGTTCAAATCCTGATCGTAGCACATATAGATGATTTATCATCTATATCCTCCCAAACCTTGCCCGCAAATTTTGCCTCTGATTTAAGATATTTGATAATTTCTCGTCAATTTGGTGACATTCTAGGAGGACTTGTAAATAGTCTGTAAAGGGTAAAGCAATTCAAAATATTAAAGACACAGCATTATGGAAGTATTAAATAGATAATAATCCAGAAAATACTCTTGAAAAAATCACAAGATCAAATATGATAACTATGATGTGGAAAGACACTAATGCAGAATTCAAAGGAAAAGTACACTACAGCTCATGTTGTAGCCCTACATCTGTGTACAAAACTAATGTTGTTACTAAAGCTATACATCCAACAGAAATCGTGCGTCAGATTTCTTGGGTTGGCAATAAAGTGTCAGTAATGATATGCAAAAATTGAAACCATTTTTCGTCTGAGCGAAGTGAAAGTTAACTCGCATGAGGCAGTGATAGTAGATACTTCTACTCGGGGCAGTATAACGATAACTAGGAAAACATTCCAACTTCGAAACTTTGTAGTCTTCCAAAATATCATAATGCCTACTAAAAACAGCAAATTTTCAATGCCGCAGTGCTTTCTATCAGTTACCTCGATCGTCACCGGAACAAAGGAAAGTTGACAATCTTTTTTTTTTTTTTACATCTGTAAAGTTATTATTATTATGAATAACCAGTTATTTTATGATTTAGATATTTATGACCTGTCTATCCGTTTTCCTACCAGTATATTTATGACCTGTCTATCCGTTTTCCTGCCAGTATATTTATGACCTGTCTATCCGTTTTCCTACCTGAATGCAAATCAGATCGAGAGTGCATAAGGTGAGATTTTAGGATTTTAAGACAGAATGTGTTTCTGCCTCTCGAAGCCACGTTATTGTGTTAATTAGCTCAGATGAGATTGTGTGCTTTGGCTTTGCGATCCAGTTACCAACATTTAAATTATTACGTCGGGGAGAAGTTGAGCCAACTTCTCGTTAAATCGTTTTTGTTCTCTTCCGCTACTTGACTTTGTTTTAATCTTGAACTGAGTGTTACTTTAAGTTACATCGCCACATGTGGTTGGCTGATTTGTAAGCACGAGTCATGCATTTATATTCAAGCTCTGATTTAATGAAAAAGTTTGTTTTGAAACCTTCTGAAGTGTGTCTGCCTTTTCTGGCGAGCAATAATTCGCTCCAAGTCTGTTAGGAGTTTGGACTTAGTTTGTGCTACCAAAGAAAACTATATACATCCTCCCATTCAGAAATTAGTTAAATGGTTGCAACATATTTGAACCATAAATCCGCACTCAGCCATTCAAGTTTTCAATTTTAATGCAATATTCTACAAATTACAGGATATATTCAAAATTTTAGTGTAAAATAAGCTTTCCCTCAACAGACAAGTTCTACTTTGTAATAAAATTTTGTGAAATGAAAATTATTTCACATTTATAATAAAATACGAGGTCAGTCTGATGTTAAGTCTATTAAGAACGTCTGAAGTTGGCTAGGCTAAGCTTTGACTTCAGTAAATTACTACACACTTTTCAAAGTTGCATATATTTTCTAAAGTTAAGGTCTTCCCATGTTAAGTACAGAAGAACGTAGCTGTATTTCGAATCAAGCACACACTAGAAAACTTACTTTTTGACCCTGAAGGCAGCTCACCGCAGAGTTTATATTTCTTGTTTCCGTCTTGTATTTCGAAATAATCCTGCGAGCAATTAGTGAATGTCATTTTTGCCACTTCGAACCACTCTATAGTGAGCTTCACCTCGCAGGTGTCAGGAGAAAATCTTTCAATAACGTACTGACAGCGAGAGTATCGCGGGTATTTGCTAGGGTATCCTGGCGATCGTATCGTGCCATACTGTCCAGTAATGCTGTAGTTGCAGTCTGCAGAAGGGGAAATGAAATATTACTTTTAGTAGAAATAGAACTTACCATTTTTTTCAACTACTTAGACATCTAGAATTGAAGTTTGAAGTAAATTAAAACTAGAGTATTAAATAGCATAAAAATTTCAAACTACATGCAAATATTCATTAGATATACTATTTAGGAGGAAACGCTGTACGTAGGAAGATCGAAATTGAATGTAAGTAGTACAAACAGTCTACATAATTTTGTCAAAAAGCAAGCTTGTATTTTTTCGTTATTAGTGAATGAAAGAAAATTTTTGCAGTTTGTAATTGCATTCTGAATGTTATCTACGTATGTTTCCAATTCAGTTTTGGGAAGAGTAGTAAATCAGCCTAAAGCTGGCTGGTCCCAAGCTCCATTTGCGAAGGATTTTATTTTCAATGTAAAAATGGTGTCACGGTTGTGACAATAATTTAGTGAGACCTCTGACACTTAAAGAAAGGCAACGAATGACCATTATTTAGCATTAATTATGTGAAGACATAGAATGTACATAACCAGGGAACAGCCTGTACAATTTTCCGTAGCCACTGGTAGAAATGTATTAAAGAAGAACATTATCTAAGACTTGGTGGTACTAGCCTATATGCTACAAAAACCTGTAACTTGCTTTTCTCTCCTTTCTTTTCACAGTACAGGTCGTTTGAACTATTGAAGACAACGTAGACTTTTATCTGTGAAGGTGATTAGGTCCCTATCCCCTTTAGAAATGAACCTGAGATTCAGCTTGCAAAATTATGCTATCTTTAGCTAATCCGGATAGAGCTAGGCTCATTTGGATATACTTTAATAATGGAAGTGTGAGGTTAAACGAAGGCGCACCCTTGCGAGTGTTTTTCAGAAGTAATTTGCACGCCGTATGTTACAGGGATGAGACCCTGCTCTCCTATGTCAGGTTTTTTAGGGGAACTGTTAGTCTAAAATTATTATTGATGTTAGGATGCATATTTACATGACTTCCTTAAAAGCAGAAGATATTACTAGAATTAACTGGCCAGTCAGATCACCAGATTCATATTTCATAGCGGAAATACAAGACTGACTAATTTGTCGCATGAATGTTTAGACGACAGTCACCACCAACAGACCTTTACGGGTTATGAGGGCTCTTCTCGATGTTTCGAAAAAATGGAATTTTTTGTTTCAAAGTGTTAAATGGACTGGTCTTGAGTACGCCTCTTTGTTGGCACTCTTTTTTCCTCTTAGTGCTTTATATTCATACTTTTTCAAAATGAACTTTTGCATAAATCGTGTTATTTTTGTATAAATCAAATTCTCTCTGTATAAATCCTCATCAAATCCTCTTTGTATAAATCATATCTTTTTAATATGAATTTGTGTAAACTATGTGTATTTCGTCCGATTAGCCAGCGTAAGATTTGAAACTCTAATCTAGATGAGTACATAGTTGCTTTTTAACGATTCTTAGGCAATAAATGCTATACACTGACTAAGCAAGTGGTGGATGCTAATTCGTCACTATCTGAGTTTGTCTGAATACATCTAGTTTCTTCTCCATGGCCACTTTTTAAGCGAGGGGGAATGTAAGAAATATTCACTTTTCTCACTACGTGCTTTTTTGATGGAATTGGTAGCACGCCAGTCAAGAACAGGAAGGTCCGGAGTTCGAATCTCGGAGATAACAGAGCTAATTTTTTACATTCTCCGCTACGGAAAAAAGCCGTGTAAGTAGATGGTAGAGCAATTATTGGACGATTTCGAACGTGTTCCCGAGTAAATGATCTACCCGTGTGAAATTGTTTTTAAAGTCGAGGAATCTTAAAATACTTATCACAAAAGTAAATAGTGACAACTTTAATAGACTGTTCTGCTGCAAGCCGGCCGAGAGCACACCAGAGCTGATTACCTTCTCCGAGCCACAATCCAATTACCTTTTAATTCTCCAATTATCTTCTAATCTAATCAAATCTAATAATCTAATTATCTTCTCCATCTAATTTAATCATCTAATTATTTCAATCCAGTCTAATTCAGCCTAATCATCTAATTATTTCTATTCAGTCTAATTCAGCCTAATCATCTAATTATTTCCATCCAGTCTAATCCAGCCTAATCATCTAATTATCTTCTCCATCTAATCTAATCATCTGATTATCTCCATCCAATTTAATCTAATTATCTTCTCGGAGTCACAGCTGAGCTTATCCAATCAAAAAAATAACCGGAATTATTCTGAACTTTTCAGTCAGCAATTAAATTCTTCTAGTTCAAATCTTCAGAGAGCTTCATTATCTTCAACCATTGTTTAATTAACATATTAATGGAAATTAAACGCTAAGTGTTCAAATCATGCGATATTATTCACATAGTCTCTTTTATAATCACAAAGAGTTGCGTTTAAGGAAATTACAGCATGCGTTTAGAAATTCAGAATTTGAATTGCTTGCTTACCGGTTGGAAAGCAGTATACTTTAATTTGTAGTTCAGGCTGTTCCATAGAAAGATAAAAATAATTAAACAACTCAACTATGACAATTTGTCGGGATCTATCTTGGTATAAAGAAGCGAAAGTTTAGTAAATTGGACTAAAATTAGAACATGCATTCTAAACCGCCAATGTGCAAACTCATGATCACTCGGAGTAATAAAAATAATTCTGTAGTTTTATCTTTTTAACAAAACATAGCATTCTTTAAAAACTCGAGACCTGATGCATTATATTTCTTAATTGTCAATAAAAATAACTATAATTTTGTTTATTTATTTATTTTATTTTTCATTTTAAAGATAGTTTTTGGTAAGCAATCAAAATAAGAATTTCTTCAATGTGCGCAACTAGTGCTTCAGTTCTTTCTGCTCTAGTCATTCATTGACTGCTTAAGGGTTTTATTTGCTTGCACCATTTCTAAAACAGCCGTTTTCATGTTCCTTTATTTCTTTTCATATCGATCAAGCTATCTGATTCGGCCATCATTTAAATTCTAATATTCAGAATAATTTACCTTTAGCATCATAAATTTCATTTTTATCCTAATGTACATGAAATTAATAGATAACGTAAACTGTTACTTTTTCAAATTGCTTTAAATCTCTGAAAAAATTATGATATATTTATTGAAAAATTCCCACGTTTAAGTGAAACCACACAATTAGGGATCAACTATTTAACGTTAGACTTCAGCTCCCTCATTCGTAGACGTAAATTAATTCCTGCAGATTCGTAGACATAAATTTCTTCCTAACGTTGTTGATGATATCAGAGCCCTTTCTTAAAATTTAACAAAATTTTTCAGATTTAATGGTGCAAACAAGAGGGAATTCCATGGGCTTATCACATATTGTCTGTAATGAATCTCTTCTTAAGAATGCTGTAGAATTCATTGAGATCAGATTTAAGCTTGGACATTTTAAAAATAAACTTAAGTGTATATTACATTTTCCGATGTACGATGCGGTATTCGAAAGGTCAGTATACCCCTTCAGGATACATGGAAATATCGAATTCGATTCTTAGATTTTAGATTTAATGCTCCGAATGAGCGAAAAGAATAACTACGCCGTACAGACTGTTTGCTATTTTTCTTTGCCTGTCAGCGTAAGGTTAGTTTCACAGATTATTAAAGCTTGTTGATAATCAGCTTTGGGCTTCGATTTAAGGTTAGAGGTCTTATTGAATATGTAAAGGATTTTTATCCTTTCCTACCGCTTGCATTCTGGGTGTAATTAGAAGCACATCCAGCTAGCAATCGGAAAATGAGCAACTCGGATCCTTGTAAGGACAGTGCTGTTTATTCTTGTTTCTTGTTCATCCTAAAATATGGCGAATGATAATTCATCACCGTCTGGATTTGGTGACTAGATCCCCACCCCCTCAGTCGCCCTTTAAGTGGGAAAGAAAGAATTTAACAGCTTTTCCCTTTAACTCTTTTTCCCTTACGGCTGAATTTCCTTTCGTTCCTCCTTCCTTCGTTTTTAATTTATTTTATTTCGCAGTAATTTTTAAAGCAGATTAATTGTTATTAAGATTTAATTCAAGGCGTATCATACAAATTAAATTTCAAAGAGTATCAGAACATTCTGACATATTTATTTTTCATTATCTTGAGGGGTTCAAAAAGGTTAGAAAATCATTCAATAATGCACTTGTGAAAAGTTCACATAGTTTAATTTAGGAAAAATATATTAAATTATTATATAGATCAAATATTTTAAAAGGAAGTTATAGATTTTATTGTTTTATATTTAGTGTCTTAAGTTTACGTGCTCAAATTAATTTAGATGAAAGGTAGAGATATAGAAAAATAAAACCTACCTGAGGATTCATTTTCCAAACTTTGGCCCTGTTAAAGAAAGAATTGTAAAATTAACATGTAAATAATTAAATTATTTCATAATTCATTAAATTATAAAAAGAACTTATAAAGTTACGAAAAACATTTTTTAAAGAACTATAAAATGCGAAGTTACGAAAAAATTTCTATAAAAGGAAGAAAGCAAATCAGAAAGGATTCCAATTTTAACGAAGTATAGAGGTTTTTTATGCTTTGGCTGAGCATCGTAGATTACCAGTCTGCTCTTGGACTCATTCCTGCTAATACAATGTTTTCATTTTTTTAGCTTTATTACATCAATTTCTTCGCAATTATGCCACATAAAATTCAAGAGTAAAATATTTAAAAGAAGTTTATCTTTAGAATAACCGGTAGAGTGTTAGAGGTTTTGAATACACTCTTTTTACATTCGCTATATTGTTTCTTTAAAAACTAGCTATTTGGAACAGTCAGCAGCCCAGATGAGCTATCATGAAAACAAAAAATGTGTATAATGGGTTTAATGAGTCCAGTTAGTACCATTTCATAAAAATAGTTATTATTTATAATGAGACATCTCATGATTTAAGTGCATTTTTATTTGAATTAATACGATTAAAAGGCAGAAAAATATTTTTGATAATTGCGTTTATTGCTTTTCGATCGCCTAGTTCGTTACTCAGCAAGAGAAAGATAAGTTCGAAAGCTTTATATTTTGCCGAATAGGAAAAGTCTGTCGTGCTGGAGATGAAAATATTATATCGAACAGTGTTGCCATTTTTCGCTTTTAAATCGTTGAATTTGTTAAACAAAAGTTCGTTAAATTTGTAGAAAATATGAAATAAATAAAAAACAATTTTTAAATTCAAAATTTGGACTTAGAGGCTCCCATGTTTGGAAGGAGGATTACTTTCATGAAAAATTCGGTGGCTCTAGGTGTCGTCGTTTTTCTAGAGTGCAAGGAACATATATATATGCAAACAAAATTTTCATTATTAATTTGTTTTAAATAGCGGTAACATATTTTTCCAACGATTTAAAAAGTGATTCGGACACAAAATTGATACGGGCAAAAATGAGTTTTAAGACTAATAGCACCTCTGGTACTAAAAACCTTTTTTGCGAAATTATACAGTAACTTGTATATATTTCCAGAACTAAACAAATAAATAAAATTTTTGCTTGGAAATTTTATCAATTTTAAGAACTCTGGGAATAATTCAGGCAGTGTCCCATAATACATCACTTCTATAACATGGTTTCATTCCAACATGGTTCAAGAACACAGTTGCAAAATTACAGTTTTAATTTAAAGACAAACTACAGCAGCGACAAACATAAAAAATGGCAAAATTTAAGTCTGTTAAAAGAGTTAAATACAAAAATATCAAAGCAGAATAAAATTTCATGATAGTCAAACAAGTATAACAGAAAAAAAGGTTGCTCAACTTTTGGTAAACAACATCTGTGCTAAACCGAATCAATTCATATAACGATACTTCAGACGAAAATTCTGTGAATGATGATGAAAATCATTTATACACTAAAATGGAGATGGAGGATGATGCGAAGTTAACCGAAAAAAAAATTGGTACACAAAAATGGAAGCTTTCTCCGATATTAATAATAAATCTACCTCTAATAAAGTTGACCGAATTTCACTTTATATCAGTTGGTTAATTTCATTCAGTAGATACACAATATAGTTTAAGAGGTAATTTATTGTAAACATCACAAACAAATACAATGAAGAATATGTTATTACAGAAATCTAATCCAGGAAATCTAATATCTTCTTTTCAATCTACATCTGCACATATAAATAAAAAGAATGCTCTTTTGATATATTTGCCACTTATCGTTTTTTAAGATAAAGCTAGCGCGCAAGCCCACCAAATGAGCGGGCTGAGGCCAAAGCAAAATTTATAAGTTCTATGTACACCAGAAAATAAGATTTGTAAAAATATCTCAGTATGAATGAAATTAGTTCATTCTTTTCCAAGCAACAGCTTCGTAAATATTTTTTTGTTGCCAAACCAGGAAACAAAAACTTCTGATACTTCAGGTTAATAAACATATGTATGATATCATGGTTTAAATTTAATGTAATAAAAAAAATCTGAAAAGTTTCAAATTTTAAATTATGTTCAAAGGGGCGTTTTTTTAACGTTTTGTATGTTATCTTTATTTATTAAAGATTATGTTCTTTGCACTTAAAACCATAAAATTCAGTTCAAAAGCAATGTCGCAAAATAATTTTAAAATGAGCATATCTTTAGAATTTCCAATACACAGTTCCGCGCGCTTGAGATAAAAAGTTTTTTCCCCCCGTAGAGTGTTGCTATTGTTCGCTTTTAAATCATTGAGTTTGTGAATCAAAAATTCGTTAAAGTTTTACAAAATATGAAATCGATAATAAAACAAATTCCAAATTTCAAATTTGGGCTTTCAGATGCCCGTATACAGATTATGTCATTCAAAATTGGATGGCTCTAGGTACCGTTGTTTTATCACATACATACATTTACGCAGATTCTTCATTATTTAATTTATTCAAATATAATACAGGGCGATATTATGTGGTGGCAACAATTTAAAAAGTGATACAGCCTTTTAAAGTTTTCAACGGAAAATCGCAAAACGAAAACAATAGTGACAAGCCCCTTTGGACTAATAACAACTTTTTCTCACTATCAATAAAATAATTAACGTGGCAATAATGTATCGTATCAATTATCCTAACCTAAAAGAAAACAGTTGCCAACAGCAGCTATTTGTTTAAAATGCTGACGTTAATGAAACATTTTCGACATATAAAGACGTCACACATTCGTACATGCTTTCTTCAACGTTAGAATATGGTCTTATTAATAGTAATATATTTAATGTTTGTCATTGCTATTTCTATTTCACAATTTGTAAAACTTACAAATTTTTTATTAACAAACACTACGATTTGAAAGTGAGTAGTAGCAACACTTTTCGAAATAAAGAAGATTTTTTTTTATCTCTAGCGAGACTGTTGCCACTCGAAAAAATGAGCGTAAAAATTGGCATTTTTAGAGTTTTTAATTAATATCTCGGCTGATTAAAATCGTAGGAAGATGAGAATAGTCCAAATGGCTTCCCACAAATTCTTGGAATCCGAAGGTACCTCCCTCGAAACTCAACTTCCCGCCGTTCCAGAAGAGATGATGCTACACACAAACAAACAGGCAGACGCACACATATTTTCATAGCATCGATTTTCTTTGCGAACGTGGTTTTCATAATATTTTGCAAATTCAATCATTTAAAGTGCTTTTTCAGATCAGAACAACTAGAGTTCCGTTTTTCAAACTTAGACTTTTATTCTGAAATAGGCGCAAACTCAAAAAAAGGAAGAAAAAAAGAGCTTTTCTTTATGCGGCAAAATTAATAAATTATTCTATCAAGGAAGCAAAATCAAGCGAGGGGGGATTTTTCAAAAGAAAACAGATAACAAAAATCAAGATACTGAAGAAGACAAATTCAAAATTCCAGAAAGAGAACAGATTCATATTTATGATACTTAGCGCAATAATGAAGAACAGAAAGATTACCATGCATTATTTAATTCTAATACGTTTGATAAATTATTGGCCTTTTAATGAAAATATAGCCTAAGATTAGGAAAGGAAAATAAAGTACTAATTTTTTGTTTACTTTTCACGAAGTTTTCCTAATACGATCTTTTTTTTTTTTTTTTTTTTTTTTTTTTTTCCAGAAAAAAAGAGAGAATAGCAACTTGATTGATTGCAAGGAGGTTTCTTCTATAGTTACGTAAACAAATTTTTTTAATACACAAGTAAAAGAATTTCACAATTTCTTTCAAACCGTGCAATTTCTGTCGACCCCATACGTTGGTTCATTGATACAATGAGATTTTATTTCCAATGACTTTTTATTATATCTATTCCAAAGCAAATAACGCAACTTTTTGTTTCCAAAATGAAGCATTAAGTACAATATAATAAATAAAATTTATTGCAGAACTCTGAATCCTTTATAGTAAAACTCTCGCTTCTATAGTAACTCTTATTCACATTAAAGAACAAAAGAACTTTTTGGACCAGCAATCCTGTTTGTAGTATTTCTTCTCTTCAACAAAAGCGATTATAACTAAAGTTTGCCTTGACTCTCTCAAACTGAGCTACTGTGCATTAACGCCTGAAACATCACAAGTTTTCTCTTTAAAAAAAATGATAATAATATTTTATTACTTAAAAAAAAGTTTAATTTATTCCGATGATGGTAAAATGTCCATGATTCAAGTTAGAAATTCTTTTTTTTTTACTTGACCCTAAAATTTATTTGAATTTATTTTACTTTGATCACCTTTCCGGAAAATTTATTTCTTTACTAATTTCGTTTATACTTGGAAGATCCTGTCGCTAAGCTTAAATCGAAACGCAAAGTATTAAGGACCGCAGTGTCCAAGGTACTAAAGAAAATTGAGACAGAATTAAGCAAAGATGATGTTAGTATAAATATAATAGAAGAAACTTAGACATATTAAACGAAAAAGCAAAAAATCTGAGTAATTTAAACACTCAAATAGAACGTGGTTTGAAAACCGCAGAGGATGAATTTGAACTTGAAATTTCATCTGCTCTCATCATGAAGAAAAAATACAACTGTGGCAATTTAGAGCAAGAACAAAATTGAGAGAATTAAATAAACTCGAAAATTTGTATAAGGAAATTATGAACTTTCCTAATGAAACAGACACAGATTCTAAAATTGAAAGTAATAAATTTATTCGCCTTCCAAAATTCACTATCTCTAAATTTTTTGGCGATTCTAGCAATTGGCAGGAATTTTGGAGTCAGTTCGAAGCAGCTATCCATAACAAAGACTCGTTATCGAAAGTAAAAAAATTCAGTTACTTAAAGTCGTTACTAGGTGGGGTAGCTTATAGCGCCGTTTCCGGACTTTCGCTTACAAATGAGAACTACGATTCAGCTATAGAATTGTTAACTAACAGGTTTGGGAAAAGATATTTGGTAATA